TTACTCAATAAATGAAGAAGATCCATCGACATCTTTTCCTAATGATGTCATAGTACCAGTTTTCATATAACTTTTTTTTGTTGAGCTCATTTCCATAATAATAACACTTATTGTTTTCTCATTTTTAATAACATTTGGTTTATCAAACTTAAAATGAAGGGTTCTTGTATCATATGGAGGATTTGATACATCACTTTTGGTAGTTAAATACATAACTAATGTACATTCTCCAATAGAATTCATGTTAGGTCCTGGAACAATGTTTGCCCATCCTTCTTCTACTACTTCAATTAATATTTGAATTATTTCTAAAAGATTAAATAACAAACAAGGAGTATTTACTGTTATGTCATGTCCACCTTCTTCTATATTTCCAATTGGTGAATATACAATTTCTATAAAATCAGAGTCATCACTACTAAATGTCCACATAAATTCATATTTTAAAAGTGATGGATTTGTTTTAGTAGTTGGTCTAATTTTAATTTCACAAGTTTTAATTGCTGAAACTTCAGGACATGTTGTTATTTCAGAATAATATAATGTTCTCGACCATTTATAACTTGAAAATTCTTTTAGGATTCTTAATTTAATATCAGAGTTGTCAGCTATCATTCTTATTCTTCTTATGAAATTATTGAATAACAGTTCTTTTTATTTCTTAAAAATTTAATTAAAAATGGAAAAATGAACATGAAGATACTAAACATCCCCATCTCTTTTCTTCTTCAAACATTTCTGCATCTAATCCTTGTTGCAATAATTCATTATCAATTATTCCATCAGAAATCATTGAAAATAATGATGAAACATTCATAGATGATAATGCACTTGTACAAATAAATTTCATGTTATTACTATCAGCAAATGACTTAGCTTGTACAATTGAAACACTATTAAATTATTATTTCTTTCATAAAAAATAATATTATTTTAAAGAAACCTTTCTTGTGAAGTTAAATCAATTTTATTTCCAACAAGATAAAATTGAATTGTTCTTGTTATTGAAATATCTTGTAATTCTTTAAACCATTGTTGTACACTAACAAAGCTTTCTGGATTTGTAATATCATAGACTAAAACACAAACACTAACATTACTAACATATGATGATACAATTGAATGATGTTTCATTGAACTACCAATATCAAGTAATTGAAGTCTAAGACGTAGTTTTTGATTTGTAGTTATGATTTTAGAATGGAAGTCAGTTCCAATAGTAACCTACTTTATTAATATTAAAGAAGTATATTTTCAAATTGAACAAACATTATAATTGTCATAAAATTCATCATACATAAATCTTGATAATAAAGAAGTTTTCCCAACTGTAGCATCACCAATAAAAGCAACTTTCTTTCTAATAAGAGGATCCATAACATCTTTTCAGATGTATTTTTTCGTGATTAAATAATGATTAAATAATGATAAATGAGTATAAGATTTGTATCTGATAAGATTGAAATGAATCTCAAAAAATGAAAAAATTGATTCAAAACTTTATCACAAAAAAGAACTTGAAATATTAAAGATTTATTTTATGTCTTTTTCTCTTCCAAGTTATGTTGATCCAACGAAGTTTGAATTACCAATACGTGTTAATCCATTAAGACCTGATGAAATTAAAAAGATTACAGAAAATGATTATGTTCAATTTTATGAAGAACCAGAACAATGGTTTAACAATAAAATGAAACAAAGATGGTTTAATTATACAGAAACAACACAAATTAAAACAACATTAATAACATGGAATGTAGCAGAAATTAATCCATCAATAGTAAAAGTTGAAGATTTATTTAATGATGCAGATTTATTTGTTATTTGTTTAGAAGAAATAGATATGTCAATAAGTGGGGTTATGACATTTGGACAATCTGAATTATGTTTAAGATGGCAATCATTAATAGAACTTTCTTTACCACCCAAAACATATGAATGTATTTTTTCACAACAACATGGAGGTTTAGCTATGTTTATTTTTATTAAACAAATAATGAAAAATGAAATTAATGATATTTCTGTTTCAACTGTTTCATTAGGTACATTAGGAATGGCAAATAAAGGAGCAATTGGAGTATCTTGTAGAATAGGAGTATGTAGAGTTTTATTTGTAGGAGCACATTTTTCAGCTAATATGGGACCTGATAAATGTGATGAATGTTATACAACTGCAAGAAATCAATTTCAATTTCCAATACCACCAAAGAGTCATGACTATGAAATTTGGCTTGGTGACTTTAATTATAGATTAAATGCAACTGAAGAACAAATTAAAAAATATTTAAATGATCCAATTCAATTAATTACAACAGACCAACTTACTAATTCAGTTACACGTTCAAGTGCATTTGGAGGATTTATTGAAGCACCAATTACATTTCTACCAACATATAAATTTGAAAAAGGAACAAAGAATTATGATTGGAAACGACTTCCAGCATGGTGTGATAGAGTTATGTTTAGAGTATATCAAGCATATCAATTATCAATTCATAAATATGAAAGACTTGAAATATGTTATTCTGATCATCTTCCTGTTAGATGTATTGCAATTATTAAACCAAGAAAAATTAATACTTCATTATTAAAAAAATCATGGGAAGAAGTTCTTGAACTTTCAAATTATATTAGTAATGCACTTGTACCAACATGTGAATTATCAACAAAAAAAGTTCAATTTGGAGAAATAGTTCCATATAAAACTGTTCATTCATCTATTGAAATTACTAATACTGGAAGGATTCCAGCTTCTTTTAATATTATTTATATTTCAACAAAAAAAGGAGAAGAAATTAATCCAATATTTATTGAAACAAATATTATAAAAGGTGATATTCCTATTAAACAAAAAATAAATATTTCAATATCAATTACTATGACTGCAGAAAATATTCATTTAATGAGAAAAATAGGAAATGATTTTATAATGCAAATAATGATTCAAGATGGTGGTGTATTTTTTGTTGAAATTATCTTTAAAATTTCACAAACTTCTTTTGGTTTATCTCCTAAACAACTTCTTCAACACCCAGATCCATTTATTATTTCATCTTCAACTACATCAATTAAAAAAACATTATTACCTAAAGAAATAATATTATTTATTAATGCATTAAATAAACATAAAGAAGATCCTAAAATATTTACTACTCTTCCTACAATTGAACGTTTTGAATTGTATGAATCAGTCTTTCATAGTGTTGATGCAATGGAAGAACTTGATAAATATAATATTTGTGTTTTATCAGAAGCTTTTGTTCTTTATATTCAGGCAATGGGAGGAATATTTACTCCAACAATATTCATTTCTGAAGATAAAGAAGTAACTGATAATATTATTGAACCAGAAAACAATGTATTAGTGCGTGTTATTTGTTCGTTATGTAAAGATATCTCAAAAGTATCTCCTCTTAATCTTACTTTAAATGAAGTACTTTCATATTTTAGTCAGGCATTAGTAAATAGAAAACTTGAAATGAATGAGTTTTCAGAAATAACAAATGAAATAGCTACATATGCACAAAGTGTTCGATCAGTTGAGAAAGAAATGGTAGAAACTAATTAAATGTATTTTGAAGAAGAATTATTATCTTTAAGGTTCTTTAATAATTTCATTTATCATTTTTTCTTTTTTTTTTAAAAGAACTTGAAAAATAGTAATAAATTAATGATTACTACAAATAAATTCATCATTACTTTTGTTAACCATTATCACCATTTAAATACAAATCATATTATGGTTGGAACCAATTCATTTCTTTCTTCTATTTCTATTATTCCTGAATGTCTCTTTCAAAACTCAACGTATGGAATAATTATGGCAATTTTTGATGATCAGACAAAGAATAAATACCAAAGATGGATTTATAATCCACTCCAATACTCTATTAATTACTCCTTATTATCTGTATTGAATCATTACATGGTAAATTCTTTAAACACATTATTTATTAAGAAAACAAAGAAAAATAAAATTGGAATTGAAATCATATCATCTGTATCATCATCAATCATACCTTATTGGAATCAATCAACGACAATGATTGGATGGAATTGTTTTCTTCAAGTTGGTTCTAATATGCTAATAACATTCATAAATTCATTTCTTGATTAATTTGATTATTGAAATTATCTTTTATATTTTTTGTTTTATTAATGACATAATGATAGACTATGCTTTGAATTATGATTGTTTCATTTTTATTGCATAAATCATAAATGAGATTATTGTGAAGTCTTATTCTTTGATAACTTTCAATTAT